CTGCCCATGGCGTGTCCGGATTATAGCTACCTGGACTGCCCCCTGAGGGCTTGATCCATCGCTACTACCCAAAAGGTCCCGTTGAGTCCCCTGATGTTGTCAGAAAGGTATCCCATTGACCCCACAGCCAAGTCCCGCTGAGTCTCTGTGAGCCTGATGTTGTCCCTAGAAAGCTGTGTGGGAGCTGTGCTGAGGTCAAACCCCACAGCCAAGGTCCTGCTGAGTCCCCGTGAGCCTGATGTTTGTCCCTAGATAGCTGTGTGGGAGCTGTGCTGAGGTCAGACCCCACAGCCAAGGTCCAGTTGAGTCCCCGTGAGCCCGCTTACCCTGAATGTCCCTACAAGCCGCATGTTGCGGAGTGCCATGAACTGTCCTGATTGAGTGCCTTTCATAGTTCAATAAAGCTTTGTTGTGTTTCCCATCTTTTTTGTGCGTTCTGTCCTGCCTACGCTTCCGTCACAGATACATATACTAGGAGTATTAAAAAACAACCTTAGTACTTACTATACTTTTTTTTTTCAACTCACTATACAAAATAAAAGTTGATATAAATGGCATAAGTGTGTTTTTGAACAATACACAATTCAAAGGAAGTAATGGATGTAAAACATCTAGCAGAAAGAACTGGTAAATACTGATTGATCCCCTGTACTGAGCACCATTATGTTGAAGATAGTCAGACACAACTGGGAGCCCTTGAAAAGAGTTCATAAAAACTGTCTGGAAAACGACCCGCAGTCTTGAAATTTAATAGGAACAGTGGGATTTAAGTATAGTCCAGATATCAAGGTTTGTAAAAATTTCTATGACCACCTGAAATGTATATCTTTTTTAGATTTGACATTAGGAAAGTTAATAGGGTCAATGAACAAAATCTATTTTGCAGAGACATTTGGTAGAAAATGAAGTATCCACACAGTCTCATTATCCTTTAGGCTTTATCGAAAATATCACTGCTACAGCTTGTGAAGGCAGTGTTAAGAGCGATCAGTGCCATTAATTAACTAAATGAGCCTTAAGTGCTAACCTTCTTAGTCTGACTGATTTTGATGAGATGGACAGATTGAAAATTTGTTTTATCTAAAAAGTTAATGGCTTACAAAAACCTGTATTGCTGTTTTATGTATGTAGGATGTACATTATTGGAAGAAAACACGTGTTGCATGACCTCTGCAGACATTTGAGATGCATCCAAAGGAAAAGCCACTCTAAAAACTTTAAAAAATACATCTACAACTTATAAAAATTTGAAAGCTGAACAGTCCTACCTGACTGTGGGGTTTGCAGAGTATCGAGGACTCATTTATCCAAACCCGGTAATTTGAAAATACCCCCCATCCCAAATCACAAAGCAACACATATCCATTTTGGAGTTGAATGGCCATAGCAGCCATTTTTTTTTTTTAAATACAACAAAGCATAATACAACATTGGCGATTAATGCAATAAACTCATAACATACAATGTTTTATGGAACAGCAATTCAACCTACCAGATCCAAGATCTTAGGAGGCACACTTATGACCCCCCCCCCCCCCAACACACACACAAAAATGGCTGTATCTACCACCCAGTGAAAAGGCTTCCAGGCAATACTACACCATCTCGGGGACAATGAACTGCCACTGTACTCCCAGATACCAGTTACTGTTACCAGGGTGAGCTATTGTTGGGCAGGGGCCACCGCGACTGTGAAAACAAAATTACCAAGACACCAACATAAGAATAAAATAAGAACAAAACACCTACCAAAATCCGCATAAAGAAAATCCAAGCAACACCCACAAAACAAAAAAACAATATAGGGAGGGAAGGTGGGAGAAACCTCACCCATACAAGCTTCAACTGCAGCCCGACAAGGTTCAGCCTCCTTTCCTCATCATAAGTGACCACCCTGATCCCCCAACCATCTAATCAGGCAAGAACAATTCTTTTTTTCATAAATAAACCCTCCAGCCCACTGTACAACTTTGCCTCTTTTGCTCACCCCAGTCAGGCTGGCCCTCCGCTTAGCACTGTCCAGTTCCAGGCCATTTACTTTCAGTCTTGCACAATTTTATAGGTTCTACTCCTGTACTGAAATAGCTTGCTCCGATTTCACTGCCCAATGGGAGCTTCTCACAATGGGCATTAGAAGCTGCAGCAAGTTAAATGGAGCCCAGAAATTTTCTAGTCTGATCTTACCTCCCAAGCCTTTATGGACGAACCTTTTCATTCATTGGGTTTCCTTTCTTTCAATCATGGAGGTTCAGCAGCACATGTGGATGTTACCTAGGGCCATCTCCATGCAAATGCAGCCTGCCTAAGAACACCCACTCTCCATAATGGCATCTACCCATCAAGGAATGTGATATTGGCATAACTCCTCCCAAGAGGTAGTCCACTGCTTGCACCAAGGAAAACTTTCACGATGCTCATATGAATTTTCTCATTATTATGATGAACAACAAATGAGAATTTGACTCCTGTAACCATCAGAAAATTGAACGATTGTCTTGAACAAACTTTTTGTGGTGTATGGTCAGCCTTAAAATGGTCCTAAAGCCAAAGCATTTTTACCTTAATACTTTCCTGCATTAAAGGTAGAAAATTTTTTTATTATTGTTGTCTGTCCCTGTGTGAGGGGGAAGAGAGGGGAGAAGATCTCCTGCACGATGTATGGCTGCTCTTTTCTCCCTCTCTTCCTCTTCACACAGGGATCAAACAGCAGCAGGATCTATTTGCTCCTGCTGCTGTCAATCAAATACAGTGAGAAGGAAGCGGAGGGTGGGCTAAGCCCTGCTGTGTGTCTATGAAGTGCAGCTCCATAGACACACACAGCTCAGGAGTAAGCACGCACTGTGTGCCCCCATAGCAAGTGGCTTTGCTATGGGGGGCATACGAAGAATAGGAGAAACCACAATTGCTGGCAGTGGACCACAGAAGAGGCGGCTCTGGGCCGCTCTTTGCAAAACCATTGCACAGAGCAGGTAAGTATAACATGTTATTTTAAATTAAAAAAAAAATCCAAAACATTTTATCTGTACTGACACTTTAAGCTAACCATCGATGGATCGAACCTCAGTCCGTTCAGCAAGGACCAGACAAGATTTGATCTATCTACGGGCAGGTTGATTGTACCAGGGGCGGACTGACAACTCATGGAGCCCCCGGGCAATAGGGGATCATGGGGCCCCTGTGCCCACGCCCATACTCAAATCACACCCAAAAAAAGCCTATGAAAGGTACCAGGGACATCTCATGGGGCCCCCTACTGACCCCGGGCCCTTGGGCAGTGCCCGAGTTACCCAATGGTCAGTCCGCCCCTGGATCGTACTGAAGTCAATCCCATCAATCCCATTGACTGCAGCACAACCAGCCTGTTGGATTTTATCTATGCAAATTTTGTCATGTGATCTTTTTCATGCGATTATCCAGACAGACCCAGCCAGTTAGGCGTTTTCTAAATGTAGCAGGCCTGTGTACAAGTTTGGCGCCTTTCCTTTAGCACCCCATGGCAAAAATTGTGCATGGCTTTAATTGTGCTGAATAGTTGGTGTGGTTTAAAGGAGTATGGTAAAATAGAGTCTCTTTACAACCAGGGGAATTGTTGACTGATTTCATTCTAAGCAGCACTTACTCCGGAATAAGCGCTACTTAGTGTGAAACGCATCAACAGTTTACCTGGTTGTAAGCTGCTGTGAGGTTTTAGATTTGTGGATTACTTTATAATAAATCCTTTTACCATTTCCTTACATTAGTGTGCGGCCATCCATTTCATGTCTGAAGTCATTTAGAACAGTATTTGGCTGCTATGAAGGAGCCACTGCAGAGAAGATTTTTTTACCAGATGGTGTACAACCTGCAGGTAATGGGATACACACCATTACAAATAACTAATGCATTTGGTGCTATAACCCAAACAACCCCCAAAAAACTAAACTTCAGCTTTTGGTTTGGAGTTTAATACGGATTGAACTTTTTTTTTTTCTAAGGGCTTGTTTACACTTATTTCAAAATGTGGCATTAAACACGCTTTTTAACCTCCTTGGCGGTCTGATTATTTCCGATTTTTTGTGCTGAAAGCGGTACCATTTTTTTGCATGGAAATATGTAGTTTTTTATTGTAGGCTGTAATTTTTAGGAATAACTTACTGAAAGCTGTCCGAACAAGAGTCTAGTAAACATCCCGGATATGATAAAACTTGAAACACGAAATCATAAATGATAATTTAATAAATAATCAAAAATAATAATATAATAATAATACATTTAATTCAATAATATAATCAAACCAAAAACACTGAAATTTGAAATACAGAGGCAATTTCGCACATCGCTGAGCAAAGTCGCAAAATCGTTTTCAGTGTCTGATGAATTTCCCCACGAATCATTATCACTCAATTCTGCAAGTGGTTCTAATTTACTATCGCTGTTCTCTAGCCGGTCTAAAACCGCTTTTGACCTAAAGGGGCGCTTTTTGGACGCCATGGACTTTTCTAAGTTTTCAGGCAGAAAGAGCAGTCAAAATGCAGGCAGGGCACAGGACAAAGCAGTAGGGACAAAATATATGTGAAATGCATTGAAACAGAAATATTTTACTATGTAATAATCATTTTTAAAAAAATGACATTTTTTAAAAATTTCAAATTTGCTGCCGGCGCCCGTATGTCCCGATGTCACAGGGATCGGAACACGGAAGCTGGAATCGACCGGAGGAGATGGCCGAGGACGCTGCAGGGGACGCATCGCGGGAGCGAAGGACAAGGTAAGTGCTGCAGGGAATCCCTGAAAGAATCCATGAACTACCACGACTCAGTGGTAGTTAATTGAGAACTACAAGACAACAGCCCAAAAGCTGTAGGGACTTGTAGTTCATTCATTATCAAAACACTGCAGGCGGAGCCCCAGATGGCCTGACTATTTTTTAAATTGCGACAGCTAGCAGGGAGCTGTCACAACGTGGGGGGGAAGAGAGAAGTGGGGGTCGGTCCATTCGTAACATGTTACACCCTGAATATGGGTGTAACCAGGGGCGAACTGACAACTCATGGGGCCCCCGGGCAATAGGGGATCATGGGGCCCCTGTGTCCTTGCCCAAACTCAAAAAAGCCTATGAAAAAAGGTACCAGGGGCATCTCATGGGGCCCCCTACTGACCCCAGGCCCTCGGGCAGTGCCTGAGTTTCCAAATGGTCAGTCCGCCCCTGGGTGTAACATATTACGAAAGGTCAACTTATCCTTTAATGTGTGTTAAAGTCAAAACAAGTGTAAATAAGCCCCACATGAAAAGTTTTGATTTTAGATCTACTTAAAAAAAAAAGTTCTGTCCTGCAGGAAAAGTTCTGCATTAAATGTGCTAATAAGCATCAAACGGGGGGCTATCCTTTTATACTTCTATTTAAATATCTTTTTATTTGAAAAGGCTTTTCCAAGCAAATTTCTGTAGCAAATTAGGTCACTTGGGGCTAAGGGAATTCATAGCCAGCTAAATGAACTATTTAGTTATGTTAAACTTAAAATGGAAGTCTCTCTAAAGCTTAATTAAGATGCATTTCCTAAAGCAGTCTTTGGATCGCAGATCGTCTCCCTGATGCTCAAATTGCAGTGCAACATCCTAAGTCATTATGTCAGTTAATATGAACACAACGCAGCAATAAACTAGATTCAAGATTAAAAGCAGACTTGCAGTCATACAAAATGCGCTAAAATAAGACAAAAAAAAACCAAATTTTGAAAACTTGGTTAAGCATACTTAATGGCTACTGGGTACACAAACCAATATCCTCCAGGAAATTTCATGTTCAGTTCACTGGAAGGTTATAATATCACTCATAATCCAGACTTTGAAAACATTTTGTGCGTGTAAAGTCAATTGTTAACTGCCAGAAGAGGGTTTTAGCGTCCTCATTTCTGACAAACTACTTTGGCAACTTTCATGTAATTTGTTATGACATCTCCCCATGTGAAGAAGATCATTTAGAGTTCAGTGAGATGGCAGAGAAAGTGAAGGCCAGCAGGTATAAAGGACGCCATCCAACTTATACTTGGTACACACATCTGAGCCAGAGGCGTAATTATGAGTCTGAATCCATTAGCACATATTTTAGAGCCCAGTCCGGGGGTTTGTCGGCCTTACTGGCACACAAAAACACTCTATGTTAAATTATATTAACCTAACATCAACTTAGGTTTTTTTACAACTATAATAAAAAGTTTAAATGATTCAACAGCTTGGCTAACGCAACTAGTTAGGTGTTAGAATGCAATTATTTTATAACGTAAATTAAACTGGTTGTAAACCCTTACAAGAAAACAACTGATTTTCTATGAATATAAAAGTGTATTTTTCCATATTAAAAAAAGCATGCTGAAACAATAGGTGCTTTAAAAGGATAAGTTGACCTTTTTACAAAAAATAATAAAAATGCACACTTTTTTGCAGGTAAAAAAAGTAAAATTTGTTTTTTGGTTTCTGGAGCCTCTAAAAGCATTGCATCAGCGATCAGCAGATTGCTGGTGCCATGCTTTTCGAGGCTCCAGATTGCTGGTGCCATGCTTTTATTTTTCCATATTTTGCAGATAGTAATAAAAACCCAACAGGGCTTCCAAACCTAAAGCTGTCCATTCAGTAGTAGAATACAGTTTGAATTTTTTTTAATTTAACCACTTGCCCTCCAAAACATTTACTGACCAGGCCATTTTTTGCGATACGGCACTGCATTAATTTAACTGACAATTGCGCGGTCATGCAATGCTGTACATAAATTAAATTTATGGCATTTTTTCCCCACAAATAGAGCTTTCTTTTGGTAGTATTTGAACACCTCTGTGTTTTTAATTTTTTGCGCAATAAACAAAAGACCGAAAATTTTGAAAAAAAAAACAATATTTTTTGACGATTTGCTAGAAAACATATCCTGTAAAAAAAATTAAAATGTCTTCATAAATTTAGGCCAAAATGTTTTCTGCTACGTTTTGTTAAAAAAAAATCCAATACGTGTAAATTAATTGGTTTACATGAAAGTTATAGCGTCTACAAATGGCAGTATATATACTGGAATTTTTATTTTTTACTAGTAATGGCGGCGATCAGCAACTTATAGTGGGACTGCGACGGGCATTCGGACACTGGGGGGAACTGATTAACTGCCACTGACATCCTCATGACACGAATACAGTGATCAGTGCTAAAAAAAAAAGCACTGACACTGTACTAATGACACTGGGCAGGAAGGAGTTAACATCTGGGACGATCAAAGGGTTAATGGTGTGCTGTGTTGTGTTTTACTATGTAAACATGCTGATTTGTATTTCCCTGCTGTGCATAGCAATACAAAGCAGCATTCCATGCTGACGGGAGAGATCTGTTTTCTTTACACACAGACCTCTCCCCTGTTTGATTCTCCACTGATCAGAGTCCTGGAAGAGAATTGTCGGCCGGGACCCGGTGATTGACTTGCCAAGGATCAATAGCGGCACAGGTAGGGAGCACGTGTGCCCCCTACCCGGAAGTGCAAATCACGTATATATACACACACGTGATTTTGCGCATCCCTGCCACCTTGTAGCAGTACTTCTGCTATAGGGCAGTCGGGAAGCGGATTATAGAACATTCAGTTTAATCATAAATGGGGTCAAATCTATGGCCATTTTTGACAGCTGTGACAAGGAAATTTGAAGTAGCAAAATAGAAAAAATTTCTGGAATTAACAAATTTTTAGGAATGAACAGGATAAGCTGTCCAGCAAAAGCGGCAGTTAAAGAGTTGCAATAAACTAGTCACCACTGACAGGGGTGCGTATGTTTATTCATGCAGCCATCATCAAGTGGGAGGTCAAACAGCCCGTAGCTCAGGGAACCCGTAGCAACCTCTGAACCTTCCAGTGTTCCACAAAACCCTGATTGAGAATAGCTTATCTAGAGACTATCCAATTCTACCATACTAGTACAATTTAAACGTATTCTGTTGTTAAACACAGAAACCCTTGAAATAATGTTCCGGTCTCAGGGAACTTCTGCTAAAAATTCAAATTTATCCAAATTTCCAAATCACAATAGTAAACGGATTTAAAAAATCCAAAATACTTTATAATGAATTTGAATTAGAAAATGAATTAAAATTTAAAAATGAGTTTGAAAAGGAGTTCAGATTCAAAATGGAAACATATTGCAATAATTACACTAAAAAGTATAAAAGTGAAATAAGATGATGAATCCTACTTAGGCTGCTGAATAGAAAAGAATACAATGGAACAGACAAGAATAAAACTACAATAAAAATAGAATAAAAAAAAAAAATATAAAAAGAATAGAAAATAAAAGTATAGAATAACAACAAAAGAATAGAAAAAATTTAAAAAGAATAGAGGAGAGGAGAAAATATTACAAATAAAACAGAAAATAAAATAGAACAAATATAGCCAACTGCTGAAATTCAAACCGATTTGAAAACAAATATATGAAATGAATCTGAACATACAAAAAAAAATTCTGGAAACAAATCATTCTAACTTAATAAAATCCAAAACTAAAAAAATTTTTCAGTCATGCACATCTGTAATCTTCACTTTGTTGAATGTTTGTCAGTTGGGGAGTTGAAACAAGTCGAAGTTATTTAGAGAAAACTTTTTGAGAAGTGAAAGTGTAAAATTTACAAAAAGGTGTCCGTTTTTAAAAAAAATTTTTTCTTTTGGGAATGAAAATGACAAATGACCATATAGCCATTTAAAATCCCAAAAAGGTCATTATTTTTTTTTCATGCTGAAGGTCATATTACTTAGCATAATGGAATTCATCCCTTTGCTCTCAGTGCACGGTGTATAAAATGTCATGCTGTAAAGGTGACTTTATTTCTGTATGTGTTGTGTGTCTCACATGTAATTATCCTGCAGCATAACGTGGAAAGCCACCAGTAATTGCTGGGATTGTTGCACTCCAACAAAGGTGAATGAGGTCTGCACAGAGTCTATCTGGGAAATTAGTTAAGCCTCGGCACATGCAAACCATCTTGTTTAAGAGCGGCTGGTAATTTTTGCATTTGCCTCTTGGTTGTGTATGCAGTTGTACATATATTTTTTTTAACTTCTTCTGATGTATTAAAAGGCAGCCAAGATGATAGATAACAGATGTTCTTTGACAGATTGTGTCATTTATCACAGAACAGCCTCAATCCTACTTACAGGGCTCTCTCCATATGTCACTGTCGGATTCCGGACCGCCCCAATGCATCATTTTTTCTTCTTTTTTTTAATATAGCCGGCTATAAAAATTCTAAGTTACAGCTCGTTTAAGTTTTCCTAAATGCTGAGTTGCTTTTCTTAAGGTTCACTCACATTAGGTTAACCCAACTGTGACGTAAAGGGAGGGAAATCATTTAGCAATTACAAGGAGTTCAAGCATGCTTGGAAAAGGAAAAGTAGATTTATGAATGAAAAGTGACATTACAGATACAGGATTGGATTGAATGGAAGTAAATGTAAGATGGATAGTGGAACCTACCAGGGTCCTTCCCTTTAAAATCTACACAACCTGATTCTTGGTAAATGAAGATTTCATTATAGTGATGACAACTGTCATGTACATACAGATGTATACTTTCTCATCTCGGCTTACAAAGAGAACAAGCAGCTTCATTTTAAATGTCATTTTTGAACGACTTGCCCTTCATAGGCTGTTTATAAATAGCCTGGACATGAAATGGTTAAAACAAAGTCCATGGCTGCAGAAGCAGCTGTGAGTTTGGCATTTGTTTTTTCAGCCAGGTAAAAGTGATCCAGCAGCTATAAAAAAAATATGGCTATTGTTAGTGATTTTAATGCATTATTACGGAGTAACATTTTAGTTACATGTGTTGTTTTTAGAAGCTAGACCTCCCCTATTGGTATGCAAATTAACTTGTTGGAATGGTTCATGAGCTTAAGACAGGAAATGATGTACAGGAAGTGGGACTTAAACAAGCCATGTGGGGAGAGACAAAAAAACAGTTGTTTGCAGGACTCAGAGGGAAGGATCTGTAAGAAGACTATCACAAGTTAAGTAGTTGTGTAAGTGTACTTATTGCATATGTTGCCCTTGCTTAGCCACTTCCCATCCGACCCATGTACGTAAACAGTTGGACGCAGCGCAGGAGCGAGTGGCCATTTAAAAAAAGGCCTCACGCATTACCACCAGCCTGTGC